ACAAAAATCAGCATCACATCCACCATCAGCGCATGCATCATCAGCATCACATCCGTCGTCATCACATGTATCAACATCACGGTCGTCTTGGTCGTCTTCTTCGGTTTTCTGGCATGGAAAGTGAGAGGCGGCGCCCCCTCATCGCAGGGGCGCGCGCCCCTTCGTGGGGGGGCCCCCTTTGAAGGCGCGACGGCGCGACATATAGCAACGCTCTTGCGAGAAGGGAAACCCTTCGAGGGTGTTTCAGCGGAGCCTTAGCGGCGCCCCCCATCCGCGAAGGGGGCCCCCTGCGGGAGGGCCCCCCCCCCTGTGTGCGTGTGTGTGTGTGCGTGTGCGTGTGCGTGCGTGCGTGCGTGCGTGCGTGCGTGCGTGCGTGCGTGCGTGTGTGCGCGCGTGTGTGTGTGTGTGTGTGTGTGTGTGTGTGTGTGTGTGTGTGTGTGTGTGTGTGTATGTGTGTGTGTGCGTGTGTGCGTGTGTTGTGTGTGTGTGTGTGTGTGTGTGTGTGTGTGTGTCCCGTTCGCGCTACAACGCGAGCGAAGCGCAATGCGCGACCGCGTCGGCGAACTCGCCACACCTGTCTCCAACTCGCCCCCCCCCCCCCCCCCGCTGGACCTGCGATGAGACGGCGGCGCGCGCGGCCCCCGCTCTCGAGGTGGCGACCCCTGCGGGGCCGCGAACCTTGCGAGGGGTGCTTCCCAGAAGCCGCCGGCCTGCAGGAGCTCCCTGTGGGGCCGCGAACCCTTTGCGGGGAGCGCCGAAATGAGGGCGGGTCGCCCGCGCTCGCGCCCGTGGGATCGCCAAGGCCCCCAATTTGATCACCGGCGCCCCCCGCATCTGCTCGTCGCCGACCCCGCTTCGCGGGGCCGCCAGGCGAGCGTGGAAGATAGCAGTCGCCATATGTTTTGACATTTCTCTCTTTCTGTATCCCTTCCTTCCTTTCTCTCTTTTTCTCTATTTTTTTGTTTTCTCTCTGTCTCTCTCATTTTTTTTTTTTTTTTTTTTTGTTCTCTCTCTCTCTCTCTCTCTCTCTCTCTCTCTCTCTCTCTCTCTCTCTCTCTCTCTCTCTCTCTCTCTCTCTCTCTATATATATATATATATATATAGATAAGTATTTAGATGTGCATATGCATGCAATGTTTGCTAGCCGACGTGCATTTTTCGGGTGGCATTTCGGCGCGCGAGATCTGGCTGGGTCGCCGGCCCTCCCTCGCGGGGCCGCGCGGCGTGCGAAATCAAATGCGATCGCCGCCCCTCTCGGGGGCGCCAGGCGCGTCAGACAGACTGGACGATGCTACAACTACAGATAATAATTCGTAGTAGTGGCGTAATGGCATGCATCTGTAAGTATGAACGCGCCATAACTGTGCAATTCCATTGGTGTTCGCAGATTTCTCAAAAAGGGGGGCATGACATTCGAGCATCGGCTCCCGCGTCGCAAGGGGGCCGGAAACTACGCCCGCCCCGCGAATACATCAATCAGTCATAATGAAACTGTAGGCCGACGCGCGGGGCCGAGAGCGAATGGCGTAAACCGCCCCCCCGTCTACGCGCAGTTGGGATCTGGAGAACGAGCCCCAATCTCAAACCCTCGTCCTAGTCCTCAGCGCCCACGGCCTTGGCCTGTGCCCCAATCCAATTCCCAGCTCTAGCCTCGAAGCGCGCCCTGGTGCTTTTGCGACCGCAACGCGCGCGCGCATGTTCGCTAGAACCACGCGCGCGCTTCGCGCGCGCTTAGGTTCTAGCTAGGAGGCGAGCTTGAGTCAACGAAAGTCGCAGGGAAGGGGGCAGGGGGAAGAAGGCCAGAGAGCGCTGAAGGATACAAATGCTGGAACCCTCTTGTGATTTTGTGGGGGGCCTCGTCCGGCCGCTCGCTGGGAGTTTGACGTAGCTTCTCGGGAGCCTCTGAACCTGTCGGGGGCCTCCTGGAAGCAGGTTCGAAGCATTTTGGGGGCCGATTTGGGGCTTCTCGGGGCCTCCTTTGGGCCTCTTGGGGGTCTCCTGGGGCCTCTTGAGGGGCCTCCTTGGGGCCTCCTGGCGGCCTCTTGGGGCGGAAGGCTCGAGCTTGCGGTTCGTGGTCCCCCTCTGGGCCCCCTCTTGGGCCCGTCTTGGGGCCCTCTTGGGCCATCTTGGGCGCCTCTTGGGCCGTCTTGGGGCCCTCTTGGGCTGTCCTGGGGCCCTCTTGGAAGCTTCTTGGGCCGTCTTGGGGCGGTCTTGGAGGCCTCTTGGGCCGTCTTGGACGCGGTGAAAGCCCAAGATGCGAACATGCGAAAAATATACGTTTTCCCATAGGAATGACACGATTTTTGTTTCTTGGACCTCTCTTGGGGTGCCTCTCGGAACGTCTTGGGCTGATTTTGGAAGCCTTTTGGCGCCTCTGGGCGGCGTTTTGGCGCCTCCTGGGATATGTTGGGCCGGAAGCTCGGAATTCGAGAGTGGCTTTCTCCTTCTGGGACCCCTCTCGAAGTCGTCTTGGGGTTCTCTTGGGCCGTCTTGGGGCCGTCCTGAGCCACTCGTGCGCAGCCTTGGAGCGCTCCCGAAGGCCTCCTAGGCCGTCTTGGAGGCCTCTTGGGCCGTCTTGGACGCGGTGAAAGCCCAAGATGCGAACATGCGAAAAATATACGTTTTCCCATAGGAATGGCACGATTTTTGTTTCTTGGACCTCTCTTGGGGTGCCTCTCGGAACGTCTTGGGGTGCTTTTGGGAGCCTTTTGGCGCCTCTTGGCGGCATTTTGGCGCCTCCTGGAGCCTCTTGGGCCGGAAGCTCGGAATTCGAGGTTGGCTTTCTCCGTCTGGGACCCCTCTCGAACTCGTCTTGGGGCTCTCTTCGGCCGTCTTGGGGCCGTCCTGGGCCACTCGTGCGCAGCCTTGGAGCGCTCCCGGAGGCCTCGTAGACCGTCTTGGGCGCCTCTTGAGCCGTCTTGGACGCGGTGAAAGCCCAAGAGGCGAACATGCGAAACATTTGCATTTTCCGATCGGAATGACACGATTTTTGCTTCTTGGGCCTCTCTTGGGCTGCCTCTCGGAGCGTCTTGGAGGCTTCTGGGACCTTCTTGGTGTCATGACAGGCGTCTTGGAAGGCATCTGGAGCCATCGGAGCGCGTTCCGAAGCCGCCTGCGAACGATCTTGGACGGCGTCCGGCGGTCCGACGAGCCTCCGGGCCCCCCGGGGCCCACATTTGTGGTCGAGGTCCCGGCCCCGGGCCCCCGGACCCGGTGCGCCGTTATATGTATATGTGGGCCAACTGCAGGAGGAATTCGGTTCCACGGAATGCTTCCATACGCATAAGGATTTCGGCCATACCTGTGAAGGAACGATCCATATACATATGGAAATATAAGGTGATCCAGCCGTTCGAATACGGATCCCAGTTTGCATGCATATGGATGCCGTTTGTATACTTGCGGAGCCGATCCATAACCGTAGAAGCATTCACGGCGCGCGCCGCAAGGATATGGCCAATGCATATCCATGCGGAAAGCCCGCAGGGATATGAGCAGCTCACAAACGCATGGAAATTCCACTCGCAAGGCTGACTGCGTTGACCGCGGCGGTCAGCTCTGCCCGCTGCGCGGTCTGCGCCGCGTCCACTGGGCCGCTGTGGTCGCTCATGCCGCTGGGCCCTTTCAGACGCAACCTCCAGGCCGCCCGGGCCAACGGCGGGCCCTGCGGCCGCTCGCGCGCCCCGTCGGTCTAAGCCCTCGCGCGCGGCTGGGGCGGCATGAGCATCAGGGCTGCCAGGGGCGGGGCTGGCGGCAAGGCCCGAGTGGCCTCCTCGGCGAGGGCGGCGAGCCGGACATCCGTCGCCAGCACGCCCGCGTTAGCCACGCCTGGCGGCAACCGCGCAAGCAACGCGCCCTGCGTGATCGCCGCCGTCACCAAGGCGGCCGCCCTGTCGGCGCCCCAAGCTGGGCAGACCCAGGAGCGGTGCTCGCGGTCCTCGCGGGCGGCGCCGCAATGGGGGCATCGGGCCCGCAAACGCTCGCGGTGGTGCTGGCCGTAAGGCCTTACAAACAAAAGGGATGGAGGAGGAGCAGCAGCACAGCAGCAGGAGAGGAAAAGGGACCGTCAGAGCTTGTACAGCGTTGAAACATGCCACGGCGTTCTGGGCGCATTTTGACGGCCTGGCGAGGAGGAAGAAGAGGAGGAGGATGAGGAGGAAAAGGAGGGATGATGACGAGGGATGATGATGATGAGGATGGTGATGAGGAGGAGGAGGAGAAGGAGGAGGAGGAGGAGGAGCAGGAGGAGGAGGCGAAGGACCAAGGAGAAGGAGGAGGAGGAGGAGGAGGAGGAAAAGGATAATGAGGGATGATGAGGAAGGATGAGGAGGAGGGCCGAGGCTCGTTACTCCTCATTCTGCTCCCCCTTCCTCCTCCACACCTTCCTTACCCCCGTCCGCTCCTTCTCCCCATCTTCCCCCTCCTCCTCTTCGTGATCCTCCTGTTCTTATGTTACCTCCTCCCTCCTCCTCCCCTTCCTCCTCCTCCTCCTCCTCCTCCTCCTTCTGCTTCCTCCTCCATTGGGATCCTCCTCCCGCTCCCCACGCGCCGTGGCCCGGTCCACGCGGCCCGCGCGCCCCATCAGCGGAAGCAGGATGTGATCATGGTGACGCTGCCGCGGATCGCCTTCGGGCGTGCGGGGGGGGACCCCCCCGCGCCTGGCCAAAATCAGTGGACACCCGAGATGGATAGGAGAAGCATATAATCAACTCGCAAAACAAGGACGCACAATAAAGATGCAGGGGCCTTGGAAGGCCATGCCGACACTTTGCGAGCGGGGCGCGGCCAGCAAAAGCGGCCAGGGATGAGCCGAAGGGGAAGGATGCCAAGGATCACCTAGAGAAGCCGCTCATCCTTCCTGTGCGGCTTGACTGGGTCTGCGGGGGCGGCCTCTCACCCCGAGCCGTTGCCCGACGGACCGCGCGGCCCTGGAGGGCCCCGGGATGCCGAACACAGCCAGAAGGCCTTCCCTCGGGGCCCCACTGCTTCGCACCGAGCCTTCATGGTGACGCTGTTCCGCTGGCTGAGCCGACCGCGGCTCCACGTCCGCCCGCTGCGCCGGTTCCGCTGCTTGTCGCTGCCCTCGCTCTCGGCACCGTCGGCGTCCTCCTCGTCGGAGTCCGGCGCCATGAAGCTCCTCGGGGAGGGGAGGGTGGGGGGAAGGAGGACCCACACCCCCGATGTCAGGATTCGTTCATGACGTGGACCCGCAAAAAATCTCGACCCACTGCCCGGGGCTGGTTTTTCATCCCGCGTCGTTTTGGCGGCCCCGAGGCCCAGCGAGTGCCCCCAAAGGCTGAACATAGCGAGAGACCTGTCGTGGTTGTTTCATGACTCGAGGGGGTCTGGGGAGAGGGGGCGTGCGAACGTGACATCGAGAATTATGTTTGTCCCTAGCTTGGGGAGGATGGGGGAGAGGCTGAGGGGCGGAAAGGGGAATAGGGGAGTCCGAAAAGGTGGAGGAGGAGGACGAAGAAGCGGCGGCGGCAAAGCGACATCGGACCGAGCCGAACCAAATCGAGCAAGCCACAGTGCGAGAAAATTACCCAGAGGAGGAGAAGGAGAAGGAGGAGGAGGCGGAGGAGGAGGAGGAGGAGGAGGAGGATGAGCCCCCCTCCTTCTCCCCCACCCTGCCTCTGCTCGGACAGCAGGGGCCCTTGCGCCCGCCCAGAACCGCCCATTGAGGAACAAACGACGGCATACATAGAAACTTTTGACGGTCCTTGCAGCCAGATCTAAATCGGTGTTTTACCTTGCTGTTGCTGTCACTGAACTTCGCCGAACGTCAAAAAGAGAAGGAGGAGGAAGAGGAGGAAGAGAAGGATGAGGAGGAGCTGGAGGAGGAGGAGGAGGAGGAGGAGGAGGAGGAGGAGGAGGAGGAGAAGGAGGAGGAGGAGGAGGGGGAGAGGGAGAGGGAAAAGGAGGAAGAGGAGATCGAGGAGGAGGAATGATTATGCTGATTATGATTACGGTGATGATGATGATGTTGATGACGATGATGATGCTGATTCTTACTATGAAAACGATGATGATGCTGCTGATGATGCTGATGTTGATGCTGATTATGATGTGCTGCTGATGATGATGATGATGATGCTGCTGATGCTGCTGATGCTGTTGATGCTGATGATGCTGCTGATGATGATATGAGAGGAGAGGAGGAGGAGGAGGAGGAGGAGAGGAGGAGGGGGAGCAGGAATGGGAAGGGGAGGGCAGGAGGAAGAGGAGTAGGAGGAGGAGGGGGAGGAGGCCGAGGAGGAGCAGGAGGAGGAGGAGGAGGAGGAGGCGGAGGAAGAGGAGGAGGCGGAGGCGGAGGAGGAGGAGAAGGAGGAGGAGGAGGCGGAGGAGGAGGAGGAGGAGGGAGAGGGGGAGGAGGAGTAGGAGGATGATGAGTAGGAGGAGAAGGAGGAGGAAGAGGAGGAGGAGGAGGAAGAGGAGGAGGAGGAGAATGAGAATGATAATGCGCTATCACGGAGTGATCCAAATGAAACTACCTCGCTGCCCTTGCTGCCTGCTGGGCGCGAGTCAGGGCCTTCGGCCATTCGCCACGCTTGATTCGTCGAAGATAATCCCTCCGAGTATCGGTGAGCTGACGAGGCTTACAAAGACCCTGAAGACCAGGACTATTATGCTCACTACTATAGAAACCGCAACTACTGCATAACCATATACCGAGGGTGCAATGAAATGCCATGTGATGTGTGTCGTGCACCCAGCCCCCACTTATATGCAAGTGCTGACCGACAGGGAGGTGGAAAACATGAGCATCCCCAGGAGTGAGCAGAAAGCACGGGGACCGACGCCACCTTATCAAGGCCGCGTCAGTGGCAGATCCCCGACAACGACGGCACCTCTTCCCGCTCTCATCCAGAGCGTGGTCCGTCTCGAACGCAGTGACAACATTGACCGATGGCGGGGGGGGAGGAGGAGGAAGAGAAGGCCCCGCCTGTGTCGAACTCCTCGGGGTGGGGGGCTTTCCGGCAGCTGCAGCGTTGAGGGCCTCAAGGCCCGCGCGGAGGAGGCGACGCCTGAGGAACAGGGTGTCTTTTCCCACCGTCCAGATCTTCGCTCGCAGTGCTTCGGGGAGTCGAGCGGACTTCGCGGCCTCTCCAGCCAGTGCGTCCGCCACCGTTTTGCCAATCGTGAGAAACAGAGGCACTTCCTTTTCTAATGCCTCCCCTGCCGTCAAATGGGATGCATCCTGGAGAACCACAATCTGTGACGTGTCGCGGTCCTGGTCCCTGAGCTGCTTCCTGGTCGTGTCCCAGATCCCCATGTTGTCCCCCGATGGTTCTAGATAGAGCCCAGCATGCCATCCGTCGGCGACGGCAGAGTTATCTGTAACATAGATCAGGGATCCCGTACTGTACGTAATAGCCAGAAGGGGCCCGTAAAGTTCCCCACGAGGTACGGTTTGCCTACGCCCAGAGAGGCCCGAGGATAGCAGAGCGGACACTTGGGGGACTGTAAGAGCTCATATTGGCGACTGCGATGCCGATGCGACGAAAGCGAGGTTCACGTGCATCTGGCCCGCCACTGGCATCACCGAATACCACAAGCGGTCTATCATCACACCCACGGCCCAAAAAGGAACCATGCAACTGATCATCATTAGTACCATTGAAGAAAAGCCAAGATGGCACGTCCGAAGGTGGGGGCATCGCCGTCCAAGCCTTCGGGATCAAGCCTCTGAGCCAGTAGCAAGCCTCGCTCTCGTGCAACGTCTGAGCGCGTGGGGCCAGGTAGTCGGAATCGACAAAAGCCTTCGCGCCCTTATTGCATGCGCATGTCCAAAAGCGGTGAAACGCTGTCTCAGCACCGTCGTGGCGCCGATGGCATTGAACATCTATCTTGGTTCTGGTCTCGTCGGCGACTCGCTGCCGTGGCCAAAATCCCCCCGTATCTATGTTGACCATGACCTCCGCGAGCCCATGGCCGTTCTTGCACAAGCGGAGACCCTGGATGAACTTACGGTAGCTATAATTGTCGACGCCGTCGGCCATCCCCTCCCCGCAATAGTGAATAAACGCACGAGACCAGCACCTAACTTGAAATGCATATTCAAAGTCGTCAAGAATGTCTGGGTAGTCCTCAAAGCCCGAGAGGTCGGGCTCCGAAAACTTCCACGTGAAATCAGGAGTGCCCCAAAAATTCGGCGCCTGCGGGTCCCATCCAGCCTCCAGAAGGTATCCAATAATGGCCGCTATGGGCCCCCTGATCTGCCGAGAAACCTGCGACGGCGATATGCTACGAAGTTGTTCGACGATACGGGGCCACGCCAAGTTGAACATGGGCCGAATAGCTGGAGTACTGAACCAGACAGACAGCCATAAACGAAGTGCTTCTCTAGGAAACTTAACTCCTGGATCTTGCCCTGGAACTTTAAGATCGAGAAGAGTGGTGAGGCATCTCCCTTTGGCCTTAGAACCCAAAGAGGCCCCAAGACGACGACGAAACTGCTGACGGTAACATCCAAACGCTCCGTACACTTGGTGGCCGTGCGATCCCGCAGCCTGGGCGCCAGCTCTCTCAAGCCGGCCTGTCGCAAGGTATTGTTTGGACGCATGAGCGAAACGTCGAATCTTGGCATTCATGCCGCTGGCTTTCGCTTGCCGTTTATATCGAACCTGCCTAGCTGGCCGACCGTTCCCAAGGTCCACGCCGAGATACGGGGCCTGCCGAACAGCAGATGCACAGATGCCTACCTTCTGCAGCTGCCGTGAGACAAAACGCCCGTCCGCGGGTCTGGAGCACATTAACACACTTTTAGGCGACGCCTTGAGACCAACCTCGCCGAGCTTGTTGCATGTATCCCGAAGAACGCGAAACAGTTGAGCTCTGACAACGCGACGTGACCCAAGGGCCCGTTGAGAAAGATCGTCAATCCAGATCCGCATCGACATGCCCACGTGGGCCGTCGAAATTTGCTGGAGAATAAAATATACCGTGCAACGTGCAAAGCGGGTGCCTCCTCGTAATCCTTGCGCGATACTTCGCGAAGGTTGAAAAGCCTGAGAGAAACTATCATCTTGGCCAAGGGTCCTTGGGCAAATACAATTTTGAAGTTCAAGGGCCAGAACCGTCGGGGGGAAGTTCAGCTTCAAAGCAGTGCGCACCAAAACAGCCCACCCAATGGAATCGTATAACCCCTCCACGTCAAGGGGCCCATGGCCGTTGTCCGTGCCGAGCTTGAAATAGGCTTCGTCATGAAGCGCAAGGAGGAATGCTTCACGAAGCGCAGAGTTGCCTCGGACGGCCGCGTCCCACGCAGGCTCTGCCGAGGAAGACCAGGAGCGGACATCTTCTTCACGGGCCAGTGACCGCACTCTTGTGAGCATGGTCAAAAGCCCGATCACCCTGTCCCCTCCCGAAATCGTCGGCAGAAGCCGACCGAGGACCATCGGCGCGTGCCAAGGCCACGTCAGCTGGGCCTCGCAGGCCTCAGGAAGGGAAGTAAGCTGCTCGATCCCCTCGTCGGGAAGCCGCTGGATATCAACTGGCGACATCTGGTCGAAACCCTGGCCAGCTCGAACCTTCATGAGCGCGGTGGCTCTGAGGACTCGCTCTGGCGTGAGAGGCGGCAGCTGCTCGTCGTCGCGGGCCGCCTGGATCTCGGCAAAAAGAGCAGAGACCTCGCAGAGATGCACTTCCGACGGGCTCCAAAGTTTGTGCCATTTCTTGGCCTTGAGATCAACGATACCCCCGGGGTGAAAAATAACCTCTCCCTCCGAAGTGAGCTCGAACGGAGGGGGAGGGGTTTTGCAGAGGGACTTATGCAAAACGCCCACAGCGGGGGCCGACAGGACCCAGGACCGAAACTCTGCCAATGATGAGTGGAGCCCCCTCCGCCTGGCACGACCAGCAACTCGTTTAGCAACAGAGGCTAGGTGAGAAAGCTTGGCAATAGGCACCTTGTCGATGCTCATGATATATGTTTGCCAGAGAGACCATGCTCCATCCGAGGGGTCCAGGCTCGCAAGAAGCAAGTGCACGCTGTCGGGGATATCTTGCGCAAGATCTTTACACGCGCGCTCAAGGCGACTGCGCTGAAGCTGACCATTAGATTTGGTAAGATGATGGTGGGGATTATGCAAGACAGTGTACACACGACCCCACCAACAAGCAACCATACCATGCAGCGGTTCCTGGCGCACTTTATCCAAAACGTGAACCTGAGCCCTGAGCCTCCTGAAAAATCGGACCATGCCCCCTGGATCGTCCTTCCTGAGAAAGCCCATGATGGCCCTGAATAGCGGATTCGACCGTAGAAACCCATTGCTCGCAAAGCGCACTGACACCCAATATACGCCCTCCACCTGCAGCAAACGCGGCTGAATCGAATGACTGGCCAGACACTGCCGTAGTCACGGGCAGGTATGTAGCCGACCCCCTGCTTAGCTGCGGCCCGCGTCTCTGAGGATATGCGGAAGCCAGGCGGGGAAGGGAGGGGGGGGGGAGGAGACTGAATCCCTGGGGGTGCTACCCCCCTGACTGTCAGCACTTACGGGGGCTGAGGGTTCTTGATTATCATCCGCGGGCTCGTGGAACTCATCTGCGGCCTCTCCGACAGCAGGGGGGAGATCATCATCTTCGCTCGGGGCACGAGCCCCAGGTGGAGGACCCCGGAGGGAGGACAGAGACAAGGGAGCGCCGAAACT